TGATGAGGTATATCTCATTTAGTCAAGTTGTGTAAAACATTCATGAGGATTTAGGAGCAAGCACAGAGACAACTGGGATAGGTCTTGTGTTTACACTACAAACCTACACCTGTCCAAGCTGTTTACTGGGACTTACCTTGAGTGACCTGAGAAAGATTTCAGGTAAAGCATTTGTGTGTATAAACTTGTTTGGATTGTTTAATCCCAAGACCAATTTCCATGGCAACATGGTAAATCATGTGTGTATATGTATGGTACATGTATGGGTGTATTTTTGTGTGTTTATACACCATACTTTGCCGGGCTGATTTTAGATTTTGCTAACTGTTGACAAATATTTTCAGTGAGACCATCAAATGTTTGCCACATATTTTTCAAATGTCATTGATTTTTAAATATCAATACTATCTGTACTGTAATCAGCCCAACAAATTGCAATGTGCAACCATGCCTTTAAATCCAGAGTATACCCCATTCCTTAGTGTAAACATAGTAGATTTTGGCAATCAAGGGCAATAGCCTTCATAGTTCAAAACTCAAAAGTAAGGTGAATCACAAACATCAACAGGTGAACCATGCATGAGATGAGATTAGTTTGGTCTGGTTTGTGCTTTATATAATTTAATATTGTCAGCCAGTTACAACAATAGAGCTCTAAAATTTATGTTTTTATCTTCACCATATTTTTCATACTAAAAAGCACTCATGCATGTTAATTTATATTCCTTCTATTGGCAAAATTTTAGAAACCTACAATCATTAAATATTTTCCAGTTAAGTTTCTCCTCTGAGGTAAAATGTATCATCAGTACAAATAAATAGTAGTTTCAACATTCCATATTTATAAAATTCAATGTATTATTAAAATATCAAGAATATAAAGTTATAAACTTGGCCAGTTTCTTTGACTTTGGCTTTGTTGTCAGAATACTTTTCTTTCAAACTGCAAAAAGGCAGTACATTTCATGATGTGCATCCAATACCAGACATATATTTTCAACCATTTGATATAAACCATGACCAGGAGACTTTCTATTATAAAATTTCGAGAGGTCCTGAGGAAACTCGCCAGCTAAAATGATAAATATATAATACCGTTTTCGAGGAAAAATAATTATTATCAACGCAGTGATCATTTGGACATAAAATCTTTCCCAAATGTCACGCTCGATGGGCAGGCCTTTCAATTTCATTGAGTATAGTACAGCAATTTCCTCATTTGCATCCTCATGTCCGCCATGTTTGTTACAAATTCTGCCAGGCGCTTCGCTTCCTGCAACCTCCCCAAGCACCCCCGCGCGCTCGAGCCACTGATCTATGTAAAAACACTGTAGTGTGCCCATTTTTAGCGCCTGGGTACGAGGCTGATACAGTCCCCAGAGAAGAGAACCAGCTGAAGCGCAACTGCTCGTATTGACGCGAAGCAGAAAAGTGCAACACTTGGTCCAGTCGAACCGGATAGTTGCCCTGAATGATGGATGAATTAACAAAGAAAAAACGTATACGCGCAGGACATAGAGGTTCAGCAACAAAGATTGTTTCAAAGATAAAAGAAAAATTGACGAACTACAACAGCGAGGGCGAGACAGACAAAAATGCCCTGAAACAACTGCGAGACACTTTAAAGGATAAGATCGAAGCCTTAAAGAATCTCGACGCAACGATCATCGAATTGTTAAGTGACAGTAAAGACGAAGACGCGGAAGAGGAACTGGCTAAAGAAGTCGAGGAGTCAGACGACATTATAGCGGACATGCAAAAGGTTATCCTCGACATATCCGATGTGACAAACGAAGCCATTGTTCAAAGCGCAACAGTGACAGATGATACTACATTGAACAGCAGCTTGTCTAGTGAGACAAAAAAGATTATTCGCGCTAAACTCCCGAAACTGGAAGTCAAAAAATTTGGTGGCAAATTGCAAGAGTGGCAAGAGTTTTGGGACTCGTTTGACAGCGCCGTAAACCAAAACGAAGGCTTAGCGGATGTCGACAAGTTCGCGTACTTGAGAAGCCTATTGATTGAGCCAGCCAGATCAGCTATTTCGCGGTTTGCACTTACATCGGCGAACTATAACGAGGCGATAGAGCTACTCAAGAGACGCTACGGGAAGAAAAACGCAATACAAAAGGCGCACATCCAGGAACTGATGAACATGAAACCAGTTTGTAATGACCGAGACACAGAGAAATTACGGAAGCTATATGATACGTGCGAGACAAATTACCGCCTATTCAACTATCGTAGTGCCGGAAATCCTGGAGAAGTTGCCCGAGTCCTTTCGATTGACTATAACTAGGGATACAAACTTTTCCGAATGGTCGATGACAGAAGTTATGGATGCTTTTCTAAAAGAAATTGAACTACGGGAAGCACACAAGCCAACGACAGAAAAACCCGAGAACCACGAAAGGCGAAAGAACAATATATATGGACATGCTGGGGGATCTGCTGCCGCTCTGTTTACGAGGCAAGGTCATGGGAATTACGGACGTATAAAGTGTGCATATTGTTTGGGAGAACACTCGCACGAAAATTGCAAGAAGATAACAGATATTAATGAGCGTAAGCAACTTATTCGTAAGTACGGACGATGTTTTATTTGTTTGAAAAAGGGACATATTAGTAAAAATTGTTCTAGTAATGTTAATTGTAATGCATGCGGGAAACGACACCATAGGTCTGTTTGTGAGGGTACTGGGGTTCCTACTGACCATGTTCAATCCAATCATTCCATTCTGGGTTCTCAAAGTAGGGTAGCATTGCAGACAGCACAAGCTTTAGTGAAGGGAGTGAAGGGTAGTCCAAGGGTCAGAGTACTCTTTGACACAGGAAGTCACAAATCCTTTGTGAGTAGAAAGGTAGTTAAGGCAGCCGGAGTTCCAGCTAAGAGAAAGGAGTGGATTGAAATCAAATCATTTGGGCAAGAGAAGGCAGAGGGAAAATTGCATGACGTTTTTGAGTTAGAAGTTTTGCCAGTTACGGGGGGAGAGAGTATGAAGATTGAGGCATACGGTGTAGAGTATGTTTCACAAATCAGAAATGAGCATGTAGAGTTGAAGAAAAGGGATTATTCGCATTTGCAGGGATTGTGGTTTTCTGATGTTTGTAAGGAAAATGAAGTGTTGGAAATTGAGGTGTTGATAGGGGCTGATTATCTGTGGTGTTTCCAGGAAGGAAATGTTGTGCGAGGGAAGGCTGACGAACCTGTGGCAGTGCAAACAAGGTTAGGTTGGGTATTGTCTGGTCCTATGAAGGTAAATGGTAGTAGTAATGAAACAAATAGTATGCATGTTGTCGATGTAAATTTTCTTGCGCAAGATAACTCAAGTTGTACAAAACTTGATGATTTTATACATCGTTTATGGGATTTTGAAACATTAGGCATTAGACAGGAAGATGAAGTACACGAGTCTCTAAAAGATTCAATTAAGTTTAATGGCACAAGGTACAGTGTAAAGTTACCTTGGAAGGAAGGTCATAGTGCATTACCAAGTAATTACAACATTAGCTTAAAGAGATTGAAAGGTCAATTAGGAAGGTTGAAGAAGGAACCGGAAATTTTGGAGGAATATGATAGTGTAATTAAGGAGCAACTAGAGAAGGGTATAATAGAGCCAGTGATTGAGTTAGAAAGGGCTGAAAAGATTCACTATATTCCACATCATGCAGTAGTTAGAAAGGATGCAAAGACCACGAAAGTTAGAGTGGTATGTGATGCTTCTTGTAAAGAATCTCCCAAAGGGGCATCTCTGAATGATTGTCTTCACATAGGGCCAAAATTAGCACAATTGTTGTTTCATATGTTGTTACGATTTAGAGAGAAGAGGATTGCATTAGTTGCAGATATAGAGAAAGCCTTTTTAAGTGTAGAGGTTGACGCACCAGATAGAGATTGCTTAAGATTTCTTTGGGTGAAAGACGTTCAGGATAAAGAGATTAGGGCAGTAGAGTACAGATTTTGTAGAGTAGTATTCGGTGTTAATTGTTCCCCGTTTTTGTTGAATGCAACATTACAATACCATTTAGATAGTCTTGAAAGTAAGGATCCGGAGCTTGTTAGGAAATTGAAAGACAGTTTTTATGTAGACGATTTGGGTCTCAGGAGAACAGACTAGTGATAAAGCATTTTTATCGTATGAACAGGCCAGTGACGGGTTAGCAAAAGGTGGATTTAGACTGAGAAAGTGGCTTAGTAACGGCAAAGAATTATTAAAGAGAATAGAACAAAGTGAAGAGAGAGCAAGTGAGAAAGACGTTTTAGATGATGAAACATATGCTAAGACATTCAAGGCGGCACAAAAGGCAGTAAAGGCGTTGTACAATAGTAAAGAAGTGAAGTCGTATTTAGAGAATAATCGATTAGAATGGCGATTTAATTTGGAGAGGACCCATGGTGGGGTGGATTTTTCGAGAGAATGGTGGGTCTGGTGAAAGGTTGTTTGCGAAGGGTACTTGGGAACGCTAAGCTAAGTTTTGAGGAACTGTTGACGACGTTGGTCGAGGTTGAAGGTACTCTAAATTCTCGACCATTGACATATTTATATGATGAGGAGGTAGAGACAGATGTGCTAACACCTTCGCATCTGATATTTGGTCGTAGACTTACTTCAATGCCAGATGAAATTACCAATCAGGTAAGTGATGACGAAATTGGAGAGGTAAATAGAAGATTTAGGTATTTGGCAAGAATGAGGAAGCACTTTTGGAGGAGATGGCGAAAGGAATATTTAACGAATTTAAGGGAATTTCATAAAGTTAGGAAAGGAAATGATAGTTCAGATGCAAAGGTGGGTGATGTCGTATTAGTGTTTGATGAAAATCTTAAAAGAGGATGTTGGAGGCTAGGAAGAATTGAAAGTTTAGTATTAGGAAGGGACAAGGTAGTGAGAGGAGCGAAGGTGAAGGTGGTAAGTAAAGGACGTGCATCGTTTATTAACAGACCTGTACAGAAGTTATATTCTTTGGAAGTGGATACAAGGGTAAGTATACCGAAAGAGATAGTTGAAGAGATCAGTGAGAAGTGTGAGAGTGTAGACAAGGGGAAAGAAGAGATAACTAAGAATGACAAGGTGAGTAAAGAAGGCAGTAGTAGGAGACCCAGAAGGGCTGCGGCCCAGGTTGCACGTTGGCGAACGCAGGTTTTGTTTGACCCTAAAGGCTCAAAGGGGGGAGTGAGTCGGATAAATCCTTGTAAATATTAAATACTTTATGTTATGGTTTATATTACTTTTAAATGGTTGTAAATTGATATCTTAGTTAGACTATAATGCGTTGTCTACGCTCAAACAATAGACAATAAACTTCCGGACGGCGGAAAATATTGACGCTTGAGATTGTAAGAGAGTGGGTTTTAGAGTTTTATCAAGAAAGGTTGTGTTTGTAAGATTGTACGGGTTTAAGAATTGGAGACGTTATGATTGTTTTATTTTAATAAATTTGTAAAAGGAATTGTCTGCGCGTATTATTTGGTTGTACGGTGACAGTATACAGTCCCCAGAGAAGAGAACCAGCTGAAGCGCAACTGCTCGTATTGATGCGAAGCAGAAAAGTGCAACACACGCTATTCCGTACGGTGCTAAGTGGTCTCAGACATCGCATTTTGCATGTGTCAAATTTAAATCGGTTGGGCGTAGCTTAAAGACTTCATGTAATGTTATTAAAATGTCACATGTTGCCACTTCGGAAAAAGATAAATCTTTGGATATTTTATTTTCCCGACAAATTTAGGCCTAAATTAAATATTCTTACGACGTGCAATACCACAAGGTACTTTTCCAGTTGTTTGCAATAGATTCATCACAGTATAGTAGCATATCATATACTTTCATACTTTCCTCTGACATATGTTCTTTGAACAATCTTGGGTATATTCTTAGTAAATTCTTTAAATTTTGCCTACTTTAGCCTTAGTATTCTTATAAATGAGATTCTTGTATATGCCTTACGCTTTACACCATTCCAGGAAACGGCCAAACCGAATTGATTGGACACATGCAAAATTCGAAGTCTGAACCCGAGGACTTAGTTCCGTTATAAAACTTTTCTTGCCTTAAATTTCATGCAATATATAGTTTAATTTGCAGCCTAAAAATTATTGTTTCAGCTTTGCTACACAATCATTCAGCTATTATTCAAGGGCTTTCAGATTTCATTAACAGAAATTATTGGAGAGAGGTGGTTGCCCCCACCCCATCCCCAGTGTCTGCCAAGTGACGTACTTTCTGGAAGGCTGTGTTATCTAGATGTGAGAAACAGGGCTAAACCTGTACCCACACAGAAATAGCCGTATGAATTTGAGTTGCCTGTTTATAAATTAATTATACGTACACAGATATACGAAACGAACCTTTCTCGAAGTACATTACAGGTTGCGATGTATGACGGAGATCCCAAATCTTAATGAGTTTATCATAGCCACCTAAATAGTAGTGAAAAATTGACAATAACGTAAACTTTAGCTATTTAATGCACGGCATTGCGTCCTAAGGGTTAATTGATGATACTTTTGTTTGTGGAAACATACTTTTCATACTTTTGTTTGTGGAAACACCACGTAAACTTATTACTGCAATATAATACAATTAATACAATTTACGTTTTTAATTAATTTATACAATTGACGTGGTGTTTCCACAGACAAAACTACACCTACAAAGAACTTAAAAGCAAAATCACAATGATTCGCTTAGATTGTAAATGCCATATCTAAACAATATTAAATTGTCATTCGTTTTGAGGGCTATCTGGGAAGCAGGGAACTTGTGGGACATAAAGAGGTACTTTTAAAGTATGTGTTTTTATATAATACTTTATTATATTCTGGTAATTTAACCAACTGATTATGATCACGTGATACTGAATAAAATATCTCATTTTGCTGAGCATACAATGGAAAGCGTTCCATTCGACGCTCATGTACTATAGGTTGGGTTTCATCAAATTCCATTCGTCAAAATCTTATTGGTACCCTAATCGTAGCTCATGTAACCCAAATCTTCACAATGAGGCCGATGGAATTAAATTCAGATGTATAATTTGTGAGAAGTAGAATGGCGGGTGTAAAAATCACAACAAAACATTATTTTACGACAATGTTGAGTTAAATCAATATTATATTTACTCTTCACCCAAATATCTTTTGGGATATATATTTGTAATTTTGGATATCTATTAATTTTAAACATTGTACATGCAACTTATTGTATTCAGTTCAATAAAAAATCGATAACATTGATTTATTTTGGAGTTTTAAAACAAACAACGAATATTTTCATGAAAGATGGAATTTCCCATTGCACTCGGCTGTTGCCTCGTGACTGGAAAATTCCATATTTCACCTCACGAAAATATTTTTTACCATGGCACCTATATACATTCATTATTCATATATTATACTTTTATTGGGAACACGGAACACTAAAGTCTATAACCTGCATTAATTTTTTTGTCATTGACAATTTCAATCTTTTTGCATATTACAATATATAAGTATAGGTAATAGTATGGTTTCGAGGGCAATTTGGAAAAAACATGCACGAGTGAGTTTTTCAAAGACTCAATCACAATTGCACGAGTCCGAAGGCCGAGTGTAGTTTGAAGTCTTTGAAAAACTCACGAGTGTGGTGTTTTTTTCAAACTGCACGAGAAACCATACTGTTACTTATTAATAATATACATGAAAAAATTATGCAATCACATGCGTAAGTCACATTTAGAAATTATTTTTTGGTACTATATTTCTAAAAAATTGCACTGCTCTTAGCCAATCAGAATTGAGAAATGTTTTCATGTATATTATTATGATAGAAATTAAAGTGAGAACTAACGATCTTCAAATTTGATTTTTTCAATTTCACTTATTACACTAAAGAGATGGAGTGAATTGGGGGCTTCAAACCTGCATTGTTTAGCGGCATTCAATCTATCCACAAGGTTTCAAAATTGCCCTTCATTGGTTTTACCCACGTAGTACTTGTAAATTAAATTTTCTTTTTTTATTGATTGTGAGGTTCATGCATATCCGTAGTTTTACAGCTTTTCAAGTATTTTTAAAACAGTTGGAAAAAATACACTATTCGGTAGATAGGCGCTATCGTAAAACCGGTCCCTGGCGGCGCCCCTGGGCAGAAATGGGACAAACAAAAATTCATAAAAACCTCTTACTAATAATGACACTGACAATACCTGTTGCGATATAATTTGGTTCACTCGGACACCAAGCCAATCCACGTATGACTGAATTATGGGCTTGAAAATGAGAGATAGGGAATATACCTAAATGATGAAAATTAGATTATAAATTATATACATATATACAAGAATTTACATACATGTAATCACTTATTAATCCCCGAGCCAACGGCACATAGCGTCGTTCCGCCCGCTAATTTACACCCGGGGAAACGAAAGCATTAGCGAAGTCTAATGTTCATCAATGATCGCGGGCGTGGGTAACCAACGGTGTTGAGTGGGTGGTCATCCTCACTTATCTCAAAATATGTGGCGGACTGTCATGGTTTTATTGTAAATATTGGTGAAGGTTAGAATTTGTTGTTGTTGTTGTATGACAAATGACGACAGCGAAATAACAACCTTTTCTTGCAAATCAGCAAATATATTGCATTTTTTGCAAATTTCAAAATCTTTTTGAGAGCCAAAAACCGTCTAAAAACGTCTAAAAGAATGGAGCAAAGTCGCCGACGTTAATGAAGGTAAGTTAGTTTTTAATATTGATGAAAATCAAAGCTGAAGTTTATGTAAATCAGGACAAATCTTTATCCGATTTACAAACATTGATTAAACAATCATTTCTTTTGTATTTTCCTCGTGAATTATTAATGAATTTTTTAAGTATTATTAACAATTACCTTAGTTTGATTTAGTGATTAAGTGTTGACAAGTTATTTTAGTGCACGGCCATTTCGTAAGACATTCATGAATAGGAAGTCAGTATTGTTGAGACATTGTACGAGACAGCGAGCTGCATGTAAAGACAAGTCTAAGAGTTATTCAGTCCGTAGATAGTCACTCTTCAGAATGTATTAAAATAATATATTAAGAAAAATCTCCACTGGATTGCGTGCGGTTTTGCACAAACGGAAACTGGTATGGTGATCAAACTTTATTTTACTATGCTAACCCTACAGCAAGAGCTGATTTCCAAGAGCTAGGGTTCAAATACAGTCATTATATACTTCAGTATAATTACTGTCATTACAATTACAATATAGAAGTTCAGATTTG